AGACCTCCTCCGGATGTATGAAGCGTGACAAGGAAACATAGGCACCCGACATAGGGGTTTTAGTCTTGCTTGCTTAGCCTGTACAAACACTGCATGGCCCATCTAGTTGTCCACTTCTATTGGCCACGCCCACTATGTTGTACCATGTTGAACACATAATTTCGTATGTGTCACATTATGTGTCAAAGTGTCAAGCGTTCGCATAGGAAGTGACATACATGGGCCGACCCAGTTAGTGTTTTTGTGGCGTGCAAGCTTCCCAATTTTGGGAACCTTCTAAACTATTCCTGACCGTTTTTTGGAACCTTCCAGAAAGTTTGTGAACTGCTTTTCTCTTTTTTGTTTTTTTTTGGTTTTTTAGTGTTTTTCCTTTTTTTTGTTTTGTCTACTTCTTTTCATTTGTTATTTTCTATTTCTCTTTTATATAAATTTAAAATTTTCAAAAAACATAATCCAAAATTTTGTTTGATTTAATTTTTTCGGTTTTTAAATGTTGTATGCGTCATTAAAAAATGTTTTGAATTCCAATATATTTTTATTCCGAAAAAAATTCACTTCTTAAAAATATGTCTGGAATTTCGTAATTTGTTCAAAATTTTAATAAGTGCTCTAAAATTCAAAAAAAATATTGTAATTTCAAAAGATTCACATTTAAAAATAATGAATTTGTACTTTGTTCGCAATTTTTTTAATAAATATTCGATTTTTAAAAAGTGTATTTCAAAATTTGTTTGTTTTTTCGTAACAATGTTCAATATTTCTAAATATAATGTTCATACTTAAAAACAATTGACCCACTAACCATATTATTCACAGGGGTATAATATTGTGAACTTCCGTACTCACTACATATAATAACGGCAAGCCACATTAACACTACAGCATGTGTGCTAATGGGCCGGCCTAGTTGAGTGCTCCTATGTATAGCGCTGTTATACGACACAAAATGCGTGATATAGGAGGTCCATTAAACGCGTGAACATTAGACGATACCCGACGGCTCAGATCACATACTATAAGACATCAACCAAGCCACCCCACGTGTAAGTGCCTCTTCTCACGTTCTCTTTTCTCCACAAAACAAATTGATGGCTCATTCAATTTAAAGGATATGTAGTGTTCAAAAATAAATAAATAAATAGAGGATATGGAGAGAAATTTCACGGAATTTTATTCATGAGATATTTCCTATGTTTATGCCTCATTTAGTTTATAGGATTTTTGTAGGAATTAGTTATAAAGGACAGGAATTGTGTAGGATTTTTTTTGTAAGTCCTTTTGGTTTGTAGGAATATAACCTTATTCTCGTACAAGATAAGGAACCAATTCAATATTTTTTTCCTATAGAATGTGAGATACTCCCTCCGTTCCAAAATAGATGACTCAATTTTGTAATAACTTTAGTACAAAATTAGTACAAAGTTGGGTCATCTATTTTGGAACGGAGGGAGTACATGTCATTTTATTTTCTATGATTTTTCTATTTCATGATGTTTCTATCCCATGAACCAAAGGAGAGCTTAGTATTTGTTTTATAGTAATGAAGTACCTTTTGTTTTAGAAAATATAGTAATGAGGTATGTGATCCCTAACGATTATATATCGACATGATTTCTAAAGATTTTGCATTAAGTTTTTCAGGGGATTTTTTGCATTAAGTGAGATCTCATGAAATTTTCAAAGGTTTTTGCATTAAGTGAGATCAGGAAAATTCTCTAAGAAACAAAATAGGCATGGTATCCCAATTCTTTACTTTTTCCTCTTTGTACTCTCTTCATTTTAAAATATAGTGCACCCGCGTTTTCCGAGGTCCAACTTTGACCATAAATTTAACCAACGAGACCTACTACGGCGAGAAAAAAAATTATATAATTGAAATTTTTTTTTGAATATGAATTCACTGATATAACTTTGCTCCGGCCGTAGTCGATCTCGTTGATTAAATTTATGGTCAAAATTGAAGCATGAAAATAGAGAAAACACTATATTTGAAAGAGAGTGAGTATGATTTAGCGAAGGCCAAGGGAGAAGAGCACTAGCACAGCATGGCCAAAACCCCAACCCATTCCGTTCCGCCCACCACTGTTTGAGCTTCCTCTCCTAGCTCCTTTTGCCCACCCGCCGGATCCCGTCGAACCAAACCCTAGCAACCGCTCGCCACCCGGGACGGCTCGCCG